ACGTCTAATCTGATAGTACATGTGAAATAATAAAACAGACTTATATAGTTTAAATCCTGGGGCATTAACAGATACGCCACATCCCATTGTGGCACACCATACGGCAAAGTTTAACTGATTCTGCCAAAATTGCATCGGATTGTGAAACCAATCGTGGATCATTTTATCGCTAGTTGCCGTGACCCTGTACTTTTCAAAGATATCGGGTAATTTAACGAAAAAATCATCACCATAGGAATTAACCATAATCGATTGATTAGTAATCTGTTTCGATTTCATATTTAAGTTATGATATAGTATCACTGTATATTTAATATGTATGTTACACTCCCGGGAATAACAAATGGTCAGTCTATTGAACTGCTTCATACTATCGATAACTCGGATGGCCAACTCAAAGTAGCTATCTGTGATGTAACGTATTACCCACTGTGGACCAATATAAATGCTTAAAAAAGAAATAATAAGATGATTATACCAGGTGAAAACAATGGTATTGACAAATACATTATTATACCTGATGGGTATTACAGCGTATGCTCACTCAATGATGAAATTTTTAAACCTAATGGAATTAGTATCACACAAAATGAGGCGACTGGGACAGTGAAAATATACACTGGAGAAACAAGTATACTTAATTACGCGGACTTAGCAATTACACTTGGATTTGGACAGTTAGTATCAGTATTATTACCACCAAACAAACCAGTGACTGTATATGCATTACCCGATTTAGTTCCCTATAAAGAGTTGTGCATCCATCTTGTTTAGATCAGTACGACGGATAATATTCAACAAGAAAGTCCTTCAACTCTACTCAGATGTGTTCCAGCTAAAGATGAAAAATATAATAGCGGTAGAACGGAATCTTTTTTTAGTCATTACAATATAAAAAATTAAAGCGGGGTATTATTTCAGACCTCAAAATTTCTGTATTAGATGTAAAACACCAACCAGTACATATAGGATACTTAAGTGTAACACTCCATATTATAAATAATGGTTGATTCCATATTTAAGTTATGATATACAGTGATCGCTCGCTATTGCGCTCTTCGATAAAGCGCTACTTCGGTTATTACGCGCGGTAACGCATGGCTCCCAAAATTTATGTACACTTTTAATACTGAGAGTTTTACACAGACATGATTGTATTGTTGTTCGTTGTTTATTTGCACATAACGCTTCTCATTGAATAATCAACGGTTTATCGCTGAATGGAGTTCTAATAATCTGTTTGTAAACATCCGCGGCAGGTCCCGGAAATACGATTGTTCTACTAGTTAACTTTTCACACTATACATCCTTTGATCTTAGAAGCGCATGCATGCAATAAAAGAGAACCACAAGTGAAGTTTATATTCTTAATTAGTGGGCAATCCAATTTAAGGCTAAACTGTCACACACATGTAGTTGCTGTCACAACACGGCGGTCATTCATTTCGTAATCGCGCTTTCGTAACATCGCCTGTTTTTTTCCCCGTAGTTATAACAAGTGATTTCATTGGATTAAAATTTGTTTCTAATGACGCTTTCTTGCCGAATTCTGCTACAAGTTTCGTGATTGGTCAATTTTGAGCACGTGACCTCAGGCAGCCAATCAAGTTGTGATACAAAGCTCGTGTTTGATAAATTTCAGAAGTTAGCGAAAGATTTTTTGTTAAATCGTGTTATTCTGAACGTTTTAAGCAGGAAATCACGATATATATTAAAAATATGGAACTTCGCGAATGTATCATGCTAGGTTACGAGCTGTGACAAAGATTTTTCATGCATATATTTTTGCATTAAACGTTGTGTCCGAGCCAAGAATTCAAGGCGACGAAAGCCGAGATGTCATTTGACTTACATTACACGCGATCGCACGAAACGATGGAAATAATAACTTAGATGTAAGTTTGATTACTTTTAGATATATTTTTGTTGATTTTATTTATCACTTTGTATAATATATTTAAAGATTTGCTTAAAATAGTCTTTATTTTGCTCTTTGACATGTTCGATGCGGACCCGTTGTCGAAATGTGTGTCCGAGAATTTTATTTTCAATAACATCGCGGGAAATAGTGAATAATTTTTTAATTTATTGATAAAAAATGATAAATTAGAATGGAATACGTATTTCAGACATTGTGAAATATGACAGATTTAATAAATGAATGATATTACAGGTAGATCTAGGTCCATAAAAATATATACTATTTTGACGTGACGTGAGATAAACACATAGGCCTTTTGATGATTTGAGATTTGCCGAGCGCGCTCCCCCGCCTCGGCCTCGGTTAAACGGCTCATCGTCTATAACGCCCACCAATTATTTGGACCCCATTGGTAGCGCAATAGCGAGCGATCACTGTAGTATCATTGTATATTTGATATGTATGTTACACTCCCGGGAATAACAAATGGCCAGTCTATTCAACTGCTTCGTACTATCGATAACTCGGATGGTCAGCTCGAAGTCGCTCTATGCGATGTAACGTATTACCCACTGTGGACCAATATAAGTGCTGCAAAAAATAATAATAGGATAATACTAATGACTATATATGGTATTATTATCAAACGCATTACTATACCTGATGGGTATTACAGCGTAAGCTCACTCAATAATGAAATTTTTAAGCCTAATGGAGTTAGTCTCTCACAAAATGAGGCGACTGGGACAGTGAAAACAGACCATGGAAATCCACCTATAATTGTAATAGAACAACCAGGTACATTGGAATTTAGTCGCTTAATTGGCACACATCCTGATGGAGATACATTGCCCAATTTAGTTCCCTATAAGGAGTTGTGCATCCATCTTGATCAAATAAGCACGACAGATAATATTCAACTAGAAAGTCCTTCAACTCTGCTCAGATGTGTTTCAGTGAAAAATGAAAAATATAATAGCGGTAGAACGGAATCTTTCTCGTCATTACAATATAAAAAATTGAAGCGTGGTATTATTTCAGACCTCAAAATTTCTGTATTAGATGTAAAACATCAACCTGTACATATAGGATACTTAAGTGTAACACTCCATATTATAAATAATGGTTGATGCATCAGGCCCTGGAACGCTCAGACAATGTAATACAATTGCGCTTTCCGATCTCGGAGACACAGAAGGATTTGATAAACCCGGTTACAGTGGTAAGTTATACGCTTTACACTTACACGATAATGTTTACAAGCGGAAAGAAGTCACATTCACGGGTAATCTAGAAGATTTAAGCAATGTCGACGTTAGTAGACTCATTAAAAACACTTCGTACAATATTACTCGCAACGACGATAATAAATTGACTATGGTCGAAGCAAACATCGAGTGGCTACTGAATATCGTCATTACCCCACCTTATGTGATGATGGGTAAGGGACATAATTTAACTAAGATAATAAATAGTGGCATCGTACTCGCGGCTTATATCCCATCAAAACGAAAAAGTGTGTTAGTTACCCCCCTGCCAGAAAACCCAGGTCATATGTTATATAGTCGTCCGGCCTTAAAAAATGTTACTTTAAATTTGATTACTGAATTCGAAGATATTAAAGATAACTTGAGTGCAATACCTAATATTTCTACTCTTATTATTGAAGTCTGATTCGGAGATGCACCGGAAAATGCCTTCGAAATATTACCAGGTCTATCGATTAAATGGCTAAAGAAACACGAGCGTCGACGTTGCAGTATTATTCATATCGGAGCATCACCCGTTGCAACCCTCGAGGGGGTCCAAAATTATAAAAGTGACAGCATTTCTCTTACTAAGATATTCTTGCCGTATAATATACATTTGATAAGATTGATGTATACCCTCAAAACATTTAAGCAAGACCAATTAAAGACTATTATATGATCGTAATATACACTATGAGTTTATATCCAGCGCTCGATGAAGCATTTGAAAAGATGGATACTGTTGATGGATTTCGATTACATCAAATAAGCGACATAAAACATCGAATAGAGAAGGATAGGGAGTTGAGACTTGGATTGTATAAAAAGTATCGAAGAGCCGTGAATGCTCTGGACGGAGTTGACACCGCGCTTGTAGTATCCTGGCATGGGACTCGGTGTAGCGGGTATCGGTTTACTATCAACTATAATCGCCGCGCCTATCCTGCTCGGCATGGAAATAACCGCTGGAGTCTCTGGACTGGCAGGATTAGCGATAAAATTCATTTCTCGTAGGTTACAAAAGAAAGCATTAAAACACGATAGTATTCGGATACTCGCCGAAGCAAAGTTGAACAGCATTGAGGATCATATTTCGACAGCAATGGCCAAGGTAAGATATCCGAGGATGAGTTTCGTTTAGTGCTGTCAGAACTCACCAAATACAATGAAATGAAGCAGGAGATTCGATCAAAATCTCATAAGACCAGTGGTATTAGCGAAGACGAGAAAAAAAAGTTCATAGAACAGGGGAGGCAACAAGCCAACAATTATTCCATGCCAAAATCAAAGAACTGGTTGGAGATTAAAAATAGATCGCTTACTATCGTTTGATCACATTTAGACAAATGCTTACATAAATATATAATAATGGAAAAAACTATTAAATGGAGAGAATTACCACAAGGTTTTTATTATATCAGTGATGTCAAACAAACCAAATACGGTTATCAATTGTTTCTTATCAATTTACAAGAAGAGTGTAGTTATATAGTCTGGTCTCCTAGTAAAATGAACGAAGAACTTAATAAAAATGTTGAATATCGCTTTATCGATAAAAATAATGAAGAATATTTTTATTACCATTTAGGCTCATCTAAAGCAATGATTGGCCCCAGGTATTGGTGAGCTAGAGCCAATTTAAGTTAATCTCATGACTATCATTGAATCTCATAATCTTTATGGCATAAAAAATGCCATCTGTAGTAGCAGTATAGGTATATGAATCAGGCTCCAGTGGAAGTGGTCCAGAACCATCATTACCTATACTACTTGGAGTGAAAACAAACTTTTGTTCCCCTGTGGAGACAAATTATGTAGGTGTATCTTACCTTGCCCATGAATGGTACCAGATGGTGCTCGCATAATGAGAACATTTCAATATCTTTCACTATCACCATCTCATCATGATCCTCATCAAACACAGCATCATTTAACACCTCTGAAAAGACAAAATAATACACCGTAACATATCAAATTTATGTGCAAACGTAAAAGGATTAAAAAATTAGATTTAAACAAACTACAGGCATCCATATTAAGTAGAAACAGAGGCAGCACCTTTCACACCATTTCCTTAAAGTTTCTAAAGCCTCAAAATACCAGTATCACCATCATGTCTTCCAGACCAAAGACATTACTAACCTTAATAAAGGCAACTTCTTAAGTTCCAACTATTCCCAAGTGTCAGGAGAGTGCAAGTAAATGTACAACATTACCTATCAATGAATGATACAACCATGTTTCACAATAACCTCAAGATCACATTGACCTCTGATAGAAAGCATGAACATTTTGTATGGTAGGATTTATAAAAATAACCTGTAAAGCTTTATGGCTGTAGACATGCACTGACCTTGAACTTTGACTAATCTTGACCAAAGCCTTTTGCAAGGTATAAACAAAGAATAACTTGGGAAGTGTAACCACACACATTTTGGTGATGTGTTTATCTCAAGACCTCAAAGGGAAACAACACTAACTGTTTGAATATTGAAATATGGATGGGTATTTTCTTCACGGATTCAAAATAAGCTTATTATGGACTATAATTTCAACTGGTTGACTTGTGGTTGGAGCTATTCTAGCTGCACTGCGTGAAGTGACACCTATCCGAGAAGAATGAGAAGCTGTAAATCATAACAAAGATATATAAAAAAAGAGCTGCAGCCAAACTGACATGTTTTGTTGTTGATTAATACATGCACGACCTGAAAGGGTGAAGCTATCGGTCAACGTCATATCATGTACAATAAAATACTATGTAGTATCCCTTCAGAGAACTCAGGTAAACAAACAGGTGATAACATGCAATACAAATTTAAAATTCAGATAAATTATCAGTAAACATGATGATTTTCCACTTAAATTGTATTTTCTGTTCTGCAAAATGACTGTGCTTATGTTCATCATGTCCATGGTTCAAAATCCACTGAGTTAGAAATGAGCATTCAATCAAAGTATTATTGGCTAATCCTTTGAACATTAAACAATAGTTATAATTGTTAATAATTCTAAGAATACAACCTCTATTACATCTTTGCCATAAATCCTGTATTTTCGTTTCAGTCACACAAACTAAAAAAATTCAGATTTTCAACAGACGTCCTATTCACTGTCAATTACAAAATAAGTTGTTCCCCATATAACACAATAGCAACCCAAGCTATGACATGCGTGATGGTGGGAATCTCACTTCTTTTCCCACCACTAGAGGTAGATGCCTCTAGTAACTCCCTGTGTAATGACAACAATCCTCTTCTGGAAACCATTATATACTGATTCTTATCCTGACTGAAATACCCCCTGTGGACTTGAAAATCAGAATTGCTCAAGAATCAGTCAAATATGTGATACTTTCACTAGAATTACTGTTATATCTGCTGATCTTGTTGGTAATAATGAAGTCATTTCTGGTCTATTTCTACCCAATGAGGTCATTTTTTTTATAAATTTGGATTTATGACACTTATACCGGTGCTGATCTCACTTCTGGTTTGTCACTTCCTTTTATTGGATAATGACGTCTCTCAAGGTCTATTTCCACCAAAGACGTTATTTTATGATGATGTGGACCTTGTACTGCTATTTCCAGTGCTGACGTCACTTCCGGTTAGAAGCTCACTTCCAGTCACAAGAGGCAGTTAATACTCAAGGAGCTCCTAATCCATCCTACACCTAATAGACTGGATAATCAAGGGTGTACTCACTCTCTGATTCTGTTGGTGTCAGAGCCTTGCCCTCCTTCCCCCTGTGTTTTCAATAGAAGGGGGAAAGTATTGATGGATGATAGTTTACGCTGCAACAATGGGTCCAAGGGAATATATGCCCTCTAGGTCCGGCTGAACGTCACGCAAGTAAAACTGATGTTTTGTGAGGCCCACTGACAGTTAGAAACTACTTGTTCTACTGAGACTGTAGTCCATGACGCGAGACTCATGGCTAGGGCTCTTATTTCATGAGCCGAGCAGGATCCGAGACGTGGCGTAGAATTCTGAGCCTGTGTATAATTTGATGCAACAGTAGCTTTTAGCCATCCTGCTAAAGTAGCCTTGGTGATATCCTTGTTTGAGTTGGTCTTACAGGATAGGGAGAGTCTCCTTCAATGGCGTTTATGTTGGTCTGTAGCCTAGAGATAGAAACTTGAGAGCTCTGATGGGACAAAAGAGTCTGTCTGAGTGATCCACTGTTGGTCCTAATGCAGGAATTGTATAGTGTCTTTGACCCAACGGTCCCATTGTGGTAGGTTGATTCTTTGCTACGAAGTCCGGGAGCAATCTTAGAGTTATTGAGGTCAAATGTTGATCATGGGTAAGACTAGAATAGTCTAATACTGATATATTGGTGAATAGCCAAGGGGCTATTGCTATCCTGAATGTTAGGACATTGAATTCGTAGCGTCGGCCATTGATTGCGAAGCGTATATATTTCCGAGAGGAGGGGTGTATCCAGACGTGAAGATATGCATCTGTTAGGTCAAGGCTGATAAACCAGTCCCCTTTCTTCAACATTGACCATAAGTCCGTCTGGACTCCATCTGGAATTTTGTAGGAGGTTTCAGATATCTCTTGTTGAGGGTCTTTAGGTCTATAATCATCCTCATCTCGGTTATATTTTCTTCGGAACTAAAATGACCGGAGAGTAAAAACCCTTGGTGTTGTTGGTTTCCTTTTGTTCTCGAATGACTCGCTTCTTTCGTAGTTTCCTGATGGCCAAATCTGCAGCTGCTAACTTGGCTCTGACCAGGTGAAATCTTCGGCCCATGGCGTGTGTTGAGGATCAAATATTTACAAGTGTAGCTTGTATCCGTGAGCCACGACATCTAGAATCCAGTGGTCAGGCGTAACTTGCTTCCAATTATTGGCATATGACAGAAGACGCTCTCCCACTGGGCCTGGAGTCAGAATTATTTTGAAAGACTGTAGACGTAAATAGAAGTCCATAGACATATTTAGGTCGAAAGGGTCTATAATGTCGGAGGGGTGGTAAGGAAGTCAGAACTGGCGTTCACCTCAGCCTCCTGATCTTCCATAGCGGTTATATCACCATTTCGTGTAATCTGGTGGGCGAAGGGAATCCTGGGAAGACTGTCGTTTGTCGTACCTCCGCCTTGGTTGGTATGAGGGGACAAACTTCTTCTGTTTGGACGCTGATGATTTATAATCCAAGGGACGCTTGGGATGATTCATGAGCTTTAGCAGCTAAGTCTATAGTTGAAGTTTGGAAACGTTCTGCTGTGTCAAGTTTCACTTCATCTATGACATGTTTCAATTTTCCATTGAATGTTGTGGTCGCTAATATAGGCTGTGACATCATGAACTTCTTGGTTTAGCCTTAGAAGTTATGAAAAAATCCACACTTTGGAGGAGAGTAAGTCTTCCTGCATCCTGACAATTGAGTCATGGTGTCATGGGTGTTTCTTCCGTTATTCCTTCATAGGATGGTTGTAAAGGTGGGATGATGTGTCTGACTTCGGCGACAAACAAATTTATATAAGCTTTGATATCCAAAGAGTATCTGGAGACCAATGTCAAATCCTTGAACCGCAATGCCGTTAACGTAACATTCGAGTCAGGATTGCGCACCAAATTGTAGAAGTCTTCATCCATACTTGGGAATTCCGGAAGTGTAGCCTCATGCGTCCTATATAACTTCAGTTTTAAAGGTGGTACAGGTAATCGTTCATCATGCTTGAGCCTGTGAATGTTATCTGTCAACTGGTCGACAACCTTGCCAGCGTAACTGGGACAAGGTAATGTCTGATGAATATGATGATGGAGCATGACATCCCCCGTATTCAGGCATCTGGGGTGGTGAATTTTCTCTCACATGCATCTGAAGCATAGGCATAAGATGATAGAGTTCATCAGGTAGTTCCACGAACTAATAACCTTTGGTGTAATCTCGTTGGGGTGAGTTTTCAGCCTGATCCTCAACACCCTCTGACTCCGCCTCCAAATGGCCTTTGGTATCTCCCATGGGGGGTGGATAATCGTAGCACTCCGATTCTACCACGTAGGGTTCGTCATCCTCCAGTGACCATGATTCCGGTATAATCTGTATCTGTGGGGCTTGTGGGTCCATTGGTTGATGAAGGTCATACAGTAAGCAGTGGTCGGTCGGCTGGGTAGCCATGGGTGGCTGGCCCATGGAGTCCTTGCGACGTCCATAAGGTGTCTTAACGGCTGGTTAGACAGCTTATCAGTGTGTTGCCATGGAAGGCAGGCCCATGCGGTCCATGTGACCACCATACGACGTCTGGCTGGTGTGGCTGGATGGCTTGGTTGCCTTGTACGGCCTGTCCATGGATACTGTGCCCTTCCTGTACAGTATTGTCCCATGGTAGGGTAAAGCCTGCTAGCTTATACACGGCTGGTCGGCTGGCTGTACGGCTCAGCTTATTAGGCCTACAGCCGTGGATGAAGACCGGATAGTCTTTGCCAGAGCTATCTCTTTGATCGTGTCCATTGCTGAGAGTTTCATGTCAAGCATGCCCTTCACCATCTCCTGCTGTTCTTTGAACAGTTTTCAGTTATCTTGATGTTTTCCACTTTCTTCTTGGCAGCCTCACGCCTCTTGGCCTTAGTCACAGCCTTGGTTATCTTGGAGAAGATCTTCTTAGATGTGTTACTGCATTGCTCACATCTCTTCTCCTTGCTGCAGGTCGTGCCTCTGCACTTTTCAAGAGGAACTCCCGTGACCATGAATCGGCCACACTTCTTGCACCCGGAGGTAGAGGGGGACAACATGACGACCTCACAAAATCACCAAACACCAACTATACTTTGCGTGCGTGTTTGTCTCTCCAGCAGCACTATTAATTTTTTACATATATGTCTGTTATTATAGAAAACTTATTAGAATAATTTTAGGTTAATGTTACTTACTACCAAGAGCTAGATCCTTACTACTATTAAAGTAGGTGTTGACTCTAGCACACAC